TTTTTTGTGAGTGGGATGAATTAATGCACATTCACGTTTAGTCTAGAACTACAGTAGCATCATGTTCACACAGCGCACACAACGCCTCTGTACTTCCGATTTCTCCCAATATGGGGACAGGAGAGCTGTCAGTCAATAAATGGGAAAACAAAGTAACTGGAGTTACTTTAAAAAAAAAATTGTTTTTAATTTTGAAAAAAATTTTTTTTGTTGAAATTCTAAAAACTATCAATATAAAACGCTTACTAAAAATTAAATAAAAAAGATGTCAAATCAAAATACTTTTTTGAAAAAGTAACTCAGATATTTTCTTGTAAATTAAAAAAGTAATGCGTTACTTTACTAGTTACTTGAAAAAAGTAATCTGATTACGTAACTCGCGTTACTTGTAATACGTTACCAACAACACTGTCACTAAATCACTAAATAACACGCGCGCAATGACAACGCTATTCAGGAGAGTGACACAGTTTCTGTCTGTTTAAGGGTTTCCCAAATCAGGGTTCATGAGCTGATAATTAACCAATACATACAAATGTAAAGTCATAAATAAATAAACACAATTAAAATAAAACTTAAAAAAATTTAAATTTATAATAGAAAAATAATTATTTATTTATAAAATAATTTAAAAATGTAAAAAAAAAAAAAGTAAATTAACTCTTAAATTAAATCAAATACAATGTAAAAAAACGAACTCATTAAAAAACTATTAAAATAAAAACAAAAATTAAAACGCTTACTTGAAATTAAATCATATAACAAAACAAATAACTTAATTTTAACTTAAAAACAACTAAAATAAAACACTTGGAATTTAACCATAAACCTGTAAAATAAATAAATCACTTCAAAAAAATAAAAAATAAACAAAAATGTAACAATTAAAACAAACAATTTTGAAAAACTAATAAAATAAAAAGCTAAAAACGCATAAAAGTGCAAAATCAAAATATTGAAATATTAACTCTCAAAAGGGACTTTTAAAGACTATTTTAGCTCAGAGGGGTTTGGTTTGGGGGACAATGTGACACCAGGAGAAACCACTGCTGATAACAGACCGATAACAGACCGATAACAGACCGATAACAGACAGATACCAGGCAGCCGTGTGCTTCTACAGCGAGTCGGTCAGCTTTTATGAGACCAGCGTGTTTTGTGCCGCAGGTCCTCTGGACACAGACATGCAGCTGCAGGCGCGCCGTTCCTCCGGAGATCTGCAGCTGCGGCGCTCCTTCTCCTCGATGTTCTCCGAGGGCCAGCTGCTCTCCTGCGAGGAGTCCGGAGCCAAACTCATGAAGCTCTATAAGCACTTATTATAAGTGTACCGGAGTGATTCGGAATAAGACAGAAACGCGGTTTGGAAGATGTACTCATGATGTACTCGCTCATTATATACACATTTTGAACACAGAAAAAGCTACATAGGGCTGCTGTAAGGTCTTAAAAATCTGTTTAGAAATACTGTGTTTTTATAAAAGGAATAAATGAATGAATGTTCAGGCATCTTTCGCTTTTATTGTGGCTGCTGTGGAGCAGCTGAGGACATCTAGTGGTGTTCCTGCACAAATACACAGAGACACCTAGGAAATGATTGGGTTTTTCAATAACTGCAGAACATGTAAAAGTATAATTTTAGCTTTTTTTTTTTCATTTGACATGATTCTAGTGGTGTCAAATGATTACATAACTTTTATTTTGGATGACAGCACTAGTAGATTAAGATTATATTATTTATTCATTTGGGTGTCCACCTGATAATGATTTTTATAAAATGATAACATCTTGTAAAAATTTATATTAATGTAATAATATTTATTAAATATGATGTATAAAACATGCTGTTATTGTAAAGCCATATTAAATTATTTTTAAAGTGAACACTTTGATGACAGAATTATTGAACAAAGAATTATTATTAAATTAAATCAACAGTTCAATAACTGAAAATTATATGTTAAAATATTTAGTTCATTCATTTACTAAAATGATTAGATTCAGATAGTTAATATTTATTAATTTGAGTGTTTAATTTTAATATATAATAATTAAATTACTATAGATTATACATAATCACCATTTTATAATGAAACCATCATATTTAAAAAAACATGATATTAATAATGTATTATTTGATCATGCATGACAAATGAAAATAATAGTTAGAAAAACGATTAGCTGTCAAACGATTAATCACAATTAATGGCATCCAAAATAAAAGTTTTTGTTTACATAATATATTTGTGTTTACTGTGTATATTTAATATGTACATAAATACACACACATGCATGTATATATTATATTAAAAATATGTTGTTTATATATTAAATATATTTAGATATAATATAAATTATAGGAATATACAGTATATATATATATACACATGTAAATATTTTTTAAATATATACTGTATGTGTGTGTATTTATATATACATAATATAATATATATAAACACAGTACACACATATATTATGTAAGCAAAAAACTTTTGGATGCGATTAATCGCAATTAATCATGTGACCGCACTAATATAAAATATAATTTATTGGTACTGTAAAGCCATATTAAATTTCTATGGGATTTGCTTCAAGCTTTCAGAATAATATGCTTTTTTAATTAAAATTTTCTGTATTTTTAAAGTGAAAATGATACAATTATTTAGTTCAAAATAAACAGAAAATGGTACAAACATTACTGAAGTGATTGTTTTAAACAAGTATTAACTTAAATATATTACTCTAGCTAAAGCATTGCAAAAAACTTTTGGATGCGATTAATCGCAATTAATCATGTGACCGCACTAATATAAAATATAATTTATTGGTACTGTAAAGCCATATTAAATTTCTATGGGATTTGCTTCAAGCTTTCAGAATAATATGCTTTTTTAATTAAAATTTTCTGTATTTTTAAAGTGAAAATGATACAATTATTTAGTTCAAAATAAACAGAAAATGGTACAAACATTACTGAAGTGATTGTTTTAAACAAGTATTAACTCTAGCTAAAGCATTTGTATCAATACTGCCTCGCCAGCTCATAAATGCATGATTTTTAAACAGAAAACACAATATTTTTCCTATAATCATACACAATGGCAAAAGCAGATTTTTTGTGCCATCCGAATATCCAGAGATTTGACTAATATGATCTGACATTAACCCCCGGCACATGACGCGCGTCTCTTTGATGGAGATGGTTCCCATGGTAACAGCAGCTTGGTGATGTCAGCAGTGAATTTGTGAATGGAGACCAAGAGCTGAAATAACCTGCGCTGATGATGATGATGATCATATATATATATATATGCTGCTGTCCTGGAGGTAAAAGAGCAAAGTGAACAGACCCGATGGACGTGATTGGAGAGAACCAGTCTGTTTCTGTGATTCAATCAAGACTTATTCTATGAGAAATCAAAGATGAATATTTTAAAACTCAAACCTACATGGCAATGCTTCACCTCAAATACACAAAAACACTAACAAGCTACGCTCAAAACACTTTTTAGGTACTTAAATCAATGCAAAGAGTAACGGTGAATGTAAATGGTTAAATATATGCAAGGATGGCAAGACTCATGGCGCATCAGTATGCAAATATAGCATCATCTCGGCTGGTTTTGAATATTGAATATTAATACAAGTCAGAGAGATTTTAAACTTCAGTGTTACATTGCTGAAAATGTATTACATTTTAAAATTAATAATCAATGATTCATATCCACCAAACAAAGTGTGAATGGAGCAGTGATAATTTCGTTGACGAATAATTTTCGTCATAATTGTCGCCAACGACATTTTTTTCACAGACTTGCATCCATTGCAGCCGTGCATTCGGTTTTAAAGGGACAGCAGTCTAATTTAGTTGCTATTGTCCGAGTCATTGATGTTAATCAAGTAACAAAAGAGAGAAAATCACTCACTGCTCTTGACTGAAACACTTTAGTAGCTTTAAAGATTAATCTAAATTTATTTATAGAAATAAATATGTCTGCTTGAAAGAATGAAGAATATGGTAAACAAGTTGCTATAAAGAATGCATAATTAGCCGATATAACCATTGGTATTTTTGGCGATAGAGGAGCAGAATGTTTGAGGAACATTGCAAAACAAACACTGAAAATATGTGAGAACTCTCGAAAACAATCTTTGGAAATCTTATTTATACTCATACCCACGTGAAAAAATACTATAGTAATTTATAGTAAATACTATAGTGTTTTTGAACCTTACTATAGTAAAGTGTATTATACTGTATATATTATAGTAGGCTATTTACAACACTTTGTTAATGAATGCTACAGCATACTGTAGTATTAACTATAGTGAACTGATAAGCAGTAATCTAATTATTTACCTTATTATAAATAAGACAATATTATGATTATTGTTACGGGGCTGACAAGACTTGAGACGTGCGGATCCATGTGCAAGCTATTTATTAGCAGAAGACATTTGCCGTCAAACGGTTGAGCACTGCCGTGTGTATATCCTGGCGCAAAATGCGGCAAAAAAGTCCTACACGACGGTAATAATGTGATTAAGGTGTGTACATGTCTTCACTGCACTTCAATAATGTGACTAAAATAGGAATACTCCACGTCTAAATTCGATTAGTGTTTACTTCGATTATGACTTTAGCCGGATTAAGGTAATCAAAAATCTCTGTTTACATGGTAGATTCTTAATCAGAGTATTGTCTTAATCGTATTAAAATCGGAGTATTGTTGTCCATGTAAACGTACTGAGAAACTTGGCAGAATCGATGTATGCAACGATATTCTACAATATTTATAGGTATTAAGCAGTGACTTAGTCAGGCTTTTTTATTTACAAAAATAAGCTGTTTGAATAAAATATGACAGAATTGTAATATAACAATTCATAACAAGTTTTTATTAGTGCTGTCAAACGATTAATCGCGATTAATCGCATCCGAAATCTAAGTTTTTGTTTACATAATATGTGTGTGTACTGTGTATATTTATTATGTATATATAAATACACACACATGTATGTATGTATTTAAGAAAAATATGTTACGTTTATATATTAAATATATTTATATATGATATCATTTATATGAATATAAATATATGCATGTAAATACATGTAAATATTTTCAAAATATATGCTGTATGTGTGTGTCTAATAATAAAAAAAACATTGTACGTTACTAATTATAACTCTTTCATTTCCACAGTTATTCAAACAGCGAATGAATGATAGCAGAAAACGAGCAAAGACAAGAGCACTCTCAAAAACTCTCGTTATAATCACTGAAGCTGTCTACTGTGAAATTAATTTCTTAGGCCTACTCACATCGTATGTACTGCACTTTGTTGTTTATAGTGAGAGAATCGCAAGAGTGCAGAAGAAAAATGGCGTTTCAGCGATGACTCATCTGAACGCCTCTGATTGGCCATTGCATACAAAGCGCAACAGAATCACGTGATTGGTTATAGCGTCCAACGCGGTACAAACGCATAAATAGAAATATGATGCAATATAAGCAGATCTTAATTTAATGCCACAATAGACACTTTTCATTTCATTTTCAATTTATTTACAGTCAGCCATGATAGATTTAGTTTAATTGTGCATGGGGCAAATTTGGCCCATGTCCCCGTTAATTTCCCACCCCTGGCCAGGCGCCTATGTCTTTCACTCCGCTATGATTCTTTCTGCAAATTACAGCGTTCCGCCAATAGGCGGCGACAAGCGACTGTCTCTCATTTCATGAGTCATTTGAATCAGTTACACAACCGAATCATTCCAAACTACCGATTTATTCAGAAGCATAACTACCGTGTGGAAAAACCCAAATTTGCCACTTTCACTTATTTATCTGAATATTAGCGGTGACGAATCACCCTCATTTACAGCTCTGTTTTGGACAATAGCTACGTCAATATTATTAAAGACTAGAAAATATCACGGTTATTTTGAACCCCTTTATGAAGACTTGGGGTACCGAAACAACAATTCTGAAATTCTGAAACCTAAACAATAGGCTATATGTTGAGGAAACATAAATATTCTTACTGATGGTTACTGATGATTTTGGATCTCCCTCTGGAGGAACACGCAGTACGCATGCGCGTAGTACAAACGCCTGACTGAGTAGTGTGACATATACTACGCGCATGCGCAGTGCCGTCGGCGTTTCGGGGGGCGTTGCTGGCGTGCGGAAAAGGGGCGGGGCGAAGGTGGGTGTGTGGCTCAGCTGATACTAACTATCATCATCCCCCTCCTCATCATCATCATCATCACCCGAGACCTACTCCTGACAAGATACACGCCGCTCGGTTTTATGGACGCGACGCGACCGGCTCGGTGAATGAACGCGGCTGACGCGACGCGCGTCGCTGTCCGCGGTGCTGAAACAGTGAGTAAGATCGCAGTCATGTGGATTTCATACGCGAAACGACAGCGCTGTCGAATTGTGAAGCGACTGATTATAGAAGAATAGAGAGAGAGAGAGTGCGACTCACTCGACTGGAAGTAAACCAATGAACGGATCTCCATTCTCTCTCGCAGATAAAGCAGCGAGGACGCATTATGTAATGCACTGATAGTGGGAAGGAGGGAAAAAACAACCCATCTCCTGGTTTCCATCTTCATGGTGCGTCTTTGTTTGTGTGGAGAGCAGAAAATGGAGAGTGTATCTATATTAAGACGCAGTGTTTTGATGCTCAAAGGGATCCGCGCTTTCAGAAGGTGCTGCAGATCTCCATTCAGATGTTGGATAACAACAGCGCATGCAATCTTTTGTGGCTCAGGGTTTGGAGAGAGTTGGTCATCTGAGGTTTCAGATGATCGTGCAACTTGTTGTGCATTCGTTTGCGTGAAGGTTAGTGGCCTTGTGGAGCCAATAAAAGTTTAACTATATATTACCTTACACACAAAGCCACACACACTCACCTCGTGGCCCATAACAAGCCGAGGTGCCAATGCAAATGTGTGTGAGATGTGTAAGTGCGAGAACAGATGAGGTAATGGCAAAGCACTGGAGTGTGAACCCTCTGTTGGCCGCGCATGGTGCTGCAGCTCGTGAGATCAAACAGCTTCAGTCTTTCACGGTGTGTTTTCATGCACATGGATGTCACGTTACCGGTGTCAAACACAAGCTTGGATCAACCTGGCTGCTGCTCACATGATGCTGATGCTTGCATACAGTCGCTGTAACACAGTTAGGTTTGGTTTTAGTAAGTGCATTTGTTTATGTTGGGGATCATGCACAAATTCACAACTGTTAATGCACTGAAGCTCTCCATTGTTTTGCTGATGTCTCACCTACATCTCTTAAACCTTTCTAAGCAATTTGCGATGCCACTGCCTGTGTTTTTGAATATAAAGTTGATAATCAAATAATTCCTATTACTATCAGACTACTTGCATATTTGTACACTACTATTTAAGGTTTGGGGTTGATAGGAGCTTTCAATATTTTTCTTCTGCTGAAAAAGGCTTCATTTGTTTGATCAAATCTGTAATATTGTGAAATACTATTACAGCTTCAAAAACAGTTTTCTGTGTGTATATATTGTAAAATGTAATTTATTCCTGTGATCAAATCTGAAGCATCAATAGAAGTAGGGTTAGTAAGATTTAAAAAGACAAAAGAATAAAATTGATATTTATATTCGGAAAAGATGCATTAAATTGATCAAAAGTGAGAGTAAAGGCATTTATAATATTGCAAAAGATTTCTATTCCAAATAAACGCTGAAAAATAAAATGTGTCACAGTTTCCACAAAAATATCGTGCAGCACAACTGTTTTCAACATTGATAATAATCAGAAATGTTTCTTGAGCAGCAAATCAGCATATTAGAATGATTTCTGAAGATCATGTGACACAAGACTGGAGTAATGATGCTGAAAATACAGCTTTGATCACAGAAATAAATTACAGTTTAGCAGATATTCACATAGAAAACAGCTAGTTTAAACTGTAATAATATTTCACATTTTTTACTGTATTTTTAATCAAATAAATGCAGCCTTGGTGAGCAGAAGAGACTTGTTTCAAAAACATTAATTCAAAAATATCTTACCAACCCCAAATCTTTGAACACTACTAGTGTACAAATATGCAAGTAGTTTGATCATAAATTAATCAGAAGTGACAGTGAAGACATTTATAATGTTACAAAAGATTTCTATTTCAAATAAATGCTCTTCTTTTGAAATTTCTGTTCATCTGTGAATCCTGGAAAATAAAATGTATCACAGTTTCCACAAAAATATGCAGCACGACATCGCTAATGTTGAAAATCTGCGTATTATTGATGATTCCTGAAGCATCGTGTTTATTTTTCAGGATTCTTTGATGAGTAAGTTCAAAATAACATCATTTATTTGAAATAGAATCTTCTGGTTTCACAGACAGGGCTTAGACTAAGCCAGGATTAGGCTCAATTAGGACATTTAAGTAATTTTTATTAACAAAAACATTACTGGTGTGCATCTTGAGACAAAACAAAGGCACTGATGTATTTTAAGATCAGATTCAGATAATCTCTTCACAATCAGGCCCCACAGTACTTAACTGATCTGTTACAGCCTTAAACTCCGTCGAGATCACTCAGATCTACTAATTCTGATCTGTTGCAAGTGCCTAGAACAAGACTAAAAACCAGAGGTGACCGTGCTTTTTCTGTTTTTGGCCCAAAACTATGAAATAGTCTCCCGTCTCACATCAGAACGGCCCCGACCTTGTCTGTTTTTAAGACCTATATATTTTCTTTGGCATTTAATATCCCTTGACTCTGTTCTTAGGAACTTCGGCCCATGTTTACAGTTTTATTGTGTTTTATAATTGTATTTTTTGTTGCTGTGTGTTTTAATTGGTCATTGTTTGTATAGTGTTGTAAAGCACGTTGGTCAACTTCGGTTGCTTTTAAATTGTGCTATATAAATAAAATTGTATTGTATTGTTTCTTTCAGTTGAAACAGCTCAGAATTACATTTTAGTCTGGGACTAGGCTTAAGCCTTATCTGTGAAACCGGGGGTAAATGTCTATGTTTCTGATTACAGTTTTTCTCGATTGCTAATGTAACGGAGGCCAGCGAGAGGCTGCAGTCTTTAGCCTCCTTGTTAGTGTGTCCGCCTCCCACGCCGGAGACCCGGGTTCGAGACCCACTCGGAACAAGTATGAGGTGTGGCGGTGAGGACCCGGGAGAGAGGGGTTACATTGGTGCCGTGACCCGGATGGGAGTGAGGTTTAGGGGGGTGAGTGTAACGGAGGCCAGCGGTAGGTGCTGTGCAGGTAAACCTCACTCCCCTGATCTCATGAGACGCACTAGCGACTGAAGCTAGTGGCGGCAGTCTTTAGCCTCCTTGTTAGTGCGTCTGCCTCCCACGCCGGAGACCCGGGTTCAAGACCCACTCGGAGCGAGAACGAGGTGTGGCGGTGAGGACCTGGGAGAGAGGGGTTACACTAACACACTATAACTGATTCATTTGGCACAATTTTCCAAACCATTCATACAATTCTCGAAACAAAGACACGTTTCTCAAAACTTTTACCACATTTCACCTGCTTTCACTCATGCGCCAATTTGCTCAGTGTTCTCTGCAAAACTCTACACAAGAACAGCATCATTTTGCACAGGTTTAACCATGTTCTCATTATTTAGAAAGCAAAACACACACTATATAACTACCTCAAGAATCATAAAATGAACACAAATAGCACACATTTATCCCTGTGTGAACATTAAATACACATCACATACACATCACAATTACATTGCGTAGTAGCAGTACTTCAGACGAGAGAACTTTCACTGTTCTTTGTACTGTAAATACTGTAACACACAGCCTCAAACTCATAACAGTTGAATTGATTTGTAGCCATACTGTATTTGTGCAGAACTGAGAGTCGACTATCTAGGGGAGGCATAGAAAGTCTTTTGTCAGAAGACTAAGAAACTGCTATAGTATAACAAATAAGGATATTACCAATACTGTAATGCAGCTTGGCAGAGGATGCTGTATTTATTTATTTACAGTAACTGACAGTACAGTATATTCCAATGTGTGTTTACTGTATATTCAGTTGTTTGGTTTTTGAACTTTTCACTTCTAGTGCTTTTCATCTACAGTAGTTTACTGTAATGAAAGTAAAGTTTATTGCTGAATTTTACTGTATCTGCACCGCTCTATTTATGCTGCATACTGTAACAAAAGGAATTCTGTTTCCCAAAAGTAGGTTTTTGTAACAGTGTATCGAATTGACCCCATTAGTGTTCTCTAGGCAGGAAAATAGTATGTGTGTGTGTGTGTGTGTGTCATCTGAGGCCAAAGAGAGAATGTGTTTTTGACTAAAATGTTTGATTTTGACCTGGAAGTTTGAAGCTTGCACAAGTTGGTGTGTAGTTTTAAGATTCTGTTTATAGTTATAGTAAATGGTGAATTAGTTAGTTTAGTTTATTGTCCTTTCGGAATTTTTTTTGTATCTGTGGCAACTCTTCAGTGATCAACAACAATAATTAACAAATACAAACATCAACAGGTTACAAGACATTACAAATAAATACAACCAGCATCAAACAACATCCACAGAATCACTGCCACAGATGTAAAATGACAACTGTGATATCACAAAAATTTATTTAACTGAGCTATACTGGAAGATCTTTGTGCACGGGCAGTCCGTAATAATGGTACCCTGTACCTTCGACCAGATGGTAATAACTCATATTCACCACAAAGAGGATGAGATGCATCATGAAGAATTGCATGGCTTTTCCTCACAGCTCGAAATTCACAGTTTTATCAGACTATGCTGTTGTTTACCTGCAATCTTACTAGCCATATTAACAATTTTATTTAGGTTGTTTCATGAATTGTATGTTAGCAATCGAGAAAAGCTGTAATATGCATGAATCTCCATCCTCTGCTCTGACTGCAGTGTGTGTCTGGAGGTCGGGCAGCTGCGAAGGCCCATGCGGAGGCTCGCAGCGCTGAGTGACGCTCTGGTTCCCCAGCATGGGCAGTGTAGGCAGCGGAGTGGCTGGTGAGCAGGAGTTTGCCATGAAGAGCGTGGGCACTCGCACCACTCTCCCTCGTGGCCCTCCTCTGTCCCGTCTCCACGCACCTCCCTCTGCCTCGGACGACCCCAGCGACAGCACCGCCACGGATCGAGGCCAACTCAACATCGCCTCGTCTCGGCCCAGCCACAGGGACAAGGCCGCGCACAGAGTGTCTCTGGATGCTTGCGGTAACGTGGTGGGTCACGGCGCGGAGAAGAACCACGAGGTAAAGGGCAGAGACGGGAACAACAGCAAGAGAGACAGTCGCACGCCACCCAAGATCCTCACTGTGTCCGGCAAACTCGAGCAGGTACGACTGACGCAGCTCTGCTAATGTTACAGCATTAAAGGGTTCACATAACTTTTACATGTTATGTGAACTAAAATGTGTGTTGGCAGTGTGTGTACACAACCACCCCATAAAAGGGTACCAGCTTTTTAATTACCAACTTTTAAGTTCAGATGGGGGGTTCGATCTCGATTCAATATCAATTCATATGTATAAACTGTACATATAAGGGGATAAAATCTTTTGTTGAATGCAGATGAATGCTTTTTTTAGCACCGTTTCAAACTTGGGTTAAATTCAGTATTTGCTTGCAAATCATTGTGTGTACTTATACGAGTATCGTTTAAAAAAGGATGTAAGTTATTAACTTTTAAAATTTTTACATTTAAGCATTACTAATGAACATGATTTTTTTTCCGACCACAAAATGACTCTAATTTACACCTTTGCATTGGAATTTAAAACCCTTTTCTCTGTTTTAACCTTAAATACTACACTAATTGTAATATAAGTAATAGAAATATCAGAAAAAAATATTTTATCTAGACAGACAGACAGATGATAGATAGAT